ACACACACACACACACACACACACACACACACACACACACACACACATTTATTAATCAGCAGCCTTCAGTACAGACTGTATGTACACAAAGGCTGCCTCCTTTGTTTAATGTGGGTGAACTGGGAATGAGGGAAGGCTCTAATTGAACGTGAGTGTGGTGGAAGGTTATTTAGCTGAGACAAGGTGTGGATGTGGGCAGATGACTGGAGATCACTGATATCAGGAAAACAAAGAGGCTTTAGCACAATCAGTGCGCCGCTCGAGCGTTCATTAGAGGCGTAAAGGCAGAAACGAGCCTGGAAAATGATCAGAATGATCAAGAATAAATAAGAAAACATGTGAAGAGATAACGTGGGGCCAGATGTGTGACTTGCACAACGCTCACTACGTGCACTGCTCCAAACAAATAGTGCTCTAGTCCCCTCTCCCCACCGATTCTCCCCCAAATTCACTCGAAAACGTGTGGATGAGCTACAAACTTAAAACTGAAGCGTATGTATTTTCTGACACCTCTTCCTCCCCCTGCTTTATTGCTGCCCTCCGCCTCTCTCCTCCTCCTCGTCACTCTGAAGAGACAGTGCACGAATGCGTGCGCACTACAGCAGCTGACTGTGAAGGTCACGCTGCATCACACAACTTCCTGAGGGCACAGAATAAATCAGCTCCTTCCCCTCTGCATTGGATAGGAAAGTGAAAGAGAAAGAGATGAGATGGGGGGGGGGGGGGGGGGCCCAAAAAAAAAAAAGCAAAGGCGGGAAAAAAAAAAAAAAAAAAGAAAGAAGGAAAAACAAAGGCAGAGAAAATGTGATTTCCACAGCACAGAAGATTCTGAGCAAACTAAGTGAAGATGATTGACAGCTGAGCTGTGGCATTCCAGTATTGGTGTGCACCCCACCACCCTCGCGGCTCCCACCCCTTTCGGACGACAGCCCTCGCTTGCCGTTCGCTTCCGTCTGATGCCCAAATTAACCTTCTGAGCGAAGTGAAGGAGGCCCAAAGCAGCCTAATCAGAGGCTGATTATGGCGGCGGCGGCTGGCTAAAGGGTCAGGGTAATTGTGCCATCAGAGGCCTGATTGTTTTCAATCAGACAGGCGGCCGAGTGACAGCTGGGGGATTGGGGGCCCTGATGGAGCCGCGGTGGGCCTAATCAGAGAGGAGAGGGAGAGAAAGAAGTGTGTGGGGGGAGAGGTTGGTGGGGGTGGTGTGGGGGCTGATTGGTGCAAATGAACAGTCAAAATGGCAAGTCCCCATCCTGCACTGCTGCTGCACTCCACAATCCAGGTAGTTCATCACACACACACACACACACACACACACCTGGACTGACAGTCTTCTGTGTCGTCAAAAACAACCCCTCAATCATATCAATAAATAAAACATGGTGATTTCAGTCTGTTTGCATATGGCACATACAATACATGTTGACAAGATGCACTGCTCGATTTTACAAGAAGACGATGTTGTTTTTCACTGAATGAAGTAAATGAATAAAGACCGAGCCTCCCTTGAAGAATGCATATCATCCACCACATTTCATGCTGTCATTTGTTAAGAAATGACAAAGTTGTAGTCCTTTTGGACAAATCGTGAAATAAATGCATTAGTGTCAGACAACACACTCAGAGTACGTGTTGTGAATGATTCTCAGCTATGACCACGTCAAACTTTAGGTCCGTATGCATTACACTGGCTGAGTTACAGCCATTTATATGTTGGCTAACTTTGAGTAGCTGCAGCAGCCATCTTGAACGGGACTGACTCTAAAAGTTAATCATTTGTAGATGTACATCCAGTGGGTACTTCATAAATGCTTCAATAAAATGTGCCCAGTGCTTCATGAGATATTCTGCTAACAGACAAACGTGGTTTACAAAAACAGTTAATGTTGAAGCAAAGATTACACACAGAGTGACAACTGGAGTATATGTTGCAAATGACTTTCAGCTACTACCACACCTAATTATGGCCCAGTATCTGTGAAACTGGCTGAACTGTAACTATCTGTATGTTTCCTAAGGTCAGCTGGCTGTGGCAGCCATCTTGAATTGGGTTGGTTCCAAAAGTTATTCAGTTGTAAAACTTTACAGTTTGGCAGCGGGTGATAACAATATTGTCAAGTAACTGTTTTGCTAAACAACTTGGAAGGAAACATTCCCGTAACATCTGCCTGTACCCCCACACACACACACAAGCTTCATCATAGGCAGCAACATACCTTCCATATCTCCTCCTCGCTCAGGGAGGTGAGGCGGTCACTTTTCAGCACCTCCCTGAGGAGGCGGTAGGGCAGCTGCTGGGCCTCGTCCTGTCGGCTCTGGCTCAGCTCAGACAGATGTTCCACCAGGAAGCCCACCACGGCCTCCTCCAAGGCGGGCAGGTGGAACAGGTCGGCCACGCGGTACAGCTCCAGGTAGTTCACGCTGCTGAGCTCCTGCAGAAACACACCGCAGAAAAATGTGGTCAAACAGATTCTGTTCACTCAGTTTGTTTCTCAAAGATTGACAACTGAAGATGGAGACCGAGGGGAAACTGAGGCGAGGCTGCCATCTCCTGGTTGTCCTTCAAAACCTACAAACTCTTTTAGAAAAGATCAGACGTGTGTTTCAGACAGGAAGGGTCATTTCTATAGTTTTTTTCTCGTAGCTCTAATATTTTGTTTGATTTCAGATCTATTTATTTTCATAGGATTTTGACAATTTTATTTAAAAAGTGTATGTATACACTATGAATAAACTGTAATTTAGAATAAAAGCTGATGGTTTCTGATTTTTTATTTGTTTTAGAGACTGAGAAAAGAGGACTTCTGGGAACATTTTCTTTAACAAGTTTTCACAAATTTTAGAAAACCATGTTTCAGAGAATGTTTTTCTACAAATAATATTCTCCAACCCCAAATCAAAGCTGTTCTTGACCTTTAATCTGTCCACTGAAGACTCTTATGTTTCAACTCGCATCCAACACCTGGTAAAAACGCAAATTAAAACTTGTTTTTTGCTTCTTTTTCTTCTTTCAAGTCAGTCTAGTCTACCTTTTGCAGCTAAAAAGACATATCTGCAATGTTTCTGTTTTTGTTAGATTGTAGAGCTCATGCCTCTTCACAGCACTTTCACACTCTTGAAACAGTCTGAGATTCAGTCCAAATCATGAACTTGGACTCATTGTTGTACTCGGTGTTATCACATTGGGTAGTCTGCTTTCCCTTTGAGCAGATTAAACCATCTTCTTATCTACAAAACTTACATCCTCCAAACTAAGGGTCTGCAACCTGCAGCTCTGGAGCCACATGCAGCTCTATGGTCCCTCTGCAGCAGTTCTAAGTTTTGACCAAAACTAACATAAACCGTTGGTTACGTACTGTAACCCCAGATTCTATGAGTATAGGCGTAGCCCTTTAAGGCTGTCGCTGATGGGTTTATCCCGTCATGCGAAGCATCACACTGAAAAGTTTAGTCCACGCCCACCTGCTGTGTGGGCCCCACCCGGTCCGTATAAGTTACGTTAAGAGCGGGAAATCGGCTCCCAAATAGCTTTTTCTTCAGCCATTTAGGAGCCAGTGAGGCCCGACGCTTAAAGGGCTATGCCTATATTCATAGAATCTGGGGTTACAGTACGTAACCAACGTTCTATTTCGTATAGGCTTCGCCCTTTAAGGCTGTCGCTGATGGGTTAAGGGCGAAGCGGATGTGGTCCTCACCTCACTGGGTCCATTCGAACACCGTATGAAGAGGCAGCTTGCCCCAAAAACGTCTTGTCACTCAGCTCCCCATGTGCGTAATTACGTATTGCGTAATTATGTGTACCATGCACAGACGCATGCTGTGTAACTATGCATTCTGAAATGCATGAACGCCCCGGAAAATTTTCAACGGGGAGGGAAGATGTTGAAAAAGGGGGGCCATGAACCAACTGATTCACAGCTGAACAGTATGAACAGATTAATAATAACAAGTGAACTGATTATAATCAAATGAACTGATTAGTAACAATAGTCATGAACTGATTAGTGACAATAGAACCAAATAACAGTCATAACTTGCAACTGATAACAACATCTCACACTGTAATGCATGCAGACAGATGTGAGTTAAATGGAGTTCCATGAAACAACAATATTCATTCTGTAAAACACTAAGTACAGAATGTGTCATGGAACGAACTGTCACATCACGTAGATAAAAGCGAATAAATGAGCAGGGTGTTGACCACGCGGCCGCAGTGCAAATATCCTGCATTGTCATACCATTATGCAAATCAGTCGAAGATGCGATACCCCTGGTCGAGTGTGCTCTGAGGTTGACAGGAGGCTCTAGATCTGATGCTCTGTAGGTTTCAGAAATGGCCTCACACAGCCAGTGTGACAGGCGCTGGGTGGATAACGGGCGACCTGCAGATGCATCTCTATAATGCACAAACAGATGTTGAGTCTGACGCATTGCAGCTGTGCGTGCTATGTAACACGACAACGCCCGCACAGGACAGGGAAGATGGAAAGACGCTTCTTCTTCTGATTTGTGGGGGGGAGGGAAAAACCCCTCCAAGGATATTGCTCTTGATTTAAAAGAGCTTGTGATGTTTTTAGGCATAAAAGCTGGGTTTGGTCTTAAATCAGCTGAGCTGCCATCAGCCTGAATTCTGAGACATGACGGAGCGACAGAGAGGGCAGATAAATCACTCACCCTCTTTGTGGATGTTAAAGCCAGCAGCAGGGCTGTTTTAAGAGACAAGAATTTAATCGGAACCTGATTCAGTGGCTCAAATGGAGCTTTGATCAGGGCCCGCAGGACCAGCGTTAAATCCCACTGTGGAGCAAGTGGGCGTGAAACAGGCCTGCATCTTTCTACACCTTTTAAAAAACACTTCATCAGCGGACGATTAAAAGATGTTCTGTCTCCGAACCCTTCGTGACAGGAAAAGATGGCTGCAGCGTACGTTTTAATCATGCTGAATGCCAAATTTCTGTCCATCAGCTGCTGCAGAAAGGACAGCACGTCGCCTAGTGGACATGAGGTGGCCTCTACACCTTTCTCTGTACACTAGCGCTGAAAAGCTGTCCACTTTGATGTGTACAGCGCTGTGGTAGATGCAGCAAGTGAATCCTGGATTGTGTGCACTACATCTTGCGGGAGACCCATCCCCTCTAAGTGGATCCGCTCAGCGGCCAGACCCACAGGTGCTGGCCTATTTCTGGGTAACTCCTGATCTCTCCTCCCGCCTGGAGGAGAGCGTCCTCCCTCCATGGCAGTTTCCACGGGCGCCCCGATAGCAGGCGTTGTAGGACTGGGAACCATGGTGCGTTCACGCGCTCGGGGGCCACCAGGAGAGCTGTCAATCCCTCCTCCTGAACTCGGTTCAAGAACCTTAAAACCAGAGGGGGTGGGGGAAACACGTCAAGAAGTGTTCTGGGCCATGGGTTGTGAGCAAACGCGTCCACCCCCAGCGGTGGTTCGTCCCACGGGCTCAGAGAAAACCATAGTTGACACTGAGCGTTTTCTCGTGTCGCAAACAGGTCCACAACTGCTTTGCCAAATTTCTCCCACGTCTGAGCCATCAGATCTGGATGGAGAGTCCAGTCCCCGTGACGTAGACCGCCCCTGGACATCACATCTGCCCTTTTGTTCAGAACACCGGGTATGTACACTGTTCTGATGGAGAGCAGATTTTGGTGTGCCCAATGCAGTAGTTTTTGCGCAATGTGTAACATCTGGGCTGAGTGCACACCCCTCTGCCGGTTTATGTACGCAGCAGTAACGTTGCTGTCTGTGTGAATCAAAACGTGTTGATTCTGCAGCACAGGAGCAAAGTGTTGAATCACGTTCAAAACCGTGCGACACTCCAAAACATTTATGTGGGCTGATATGTGATGGGGCCACAATGCTCCTACAGCTTGGGATAGGCATGTCCCCCCCCCCCCCCCCAACCTGACAGCGACACGTCTGTGAAGACTGACACGTGTGACGTGGGTCTGCTGACGGGAACTCCCTCCGACAGAACCAGGGTGTTTTCCCAGTGTCGGAGTTCTGCTCTCACGGAGCGAGGAACAGTGATCGTCCGTCTCTTTTGTTTTTCTGGATCCACACGCAGATGCGCAAACCACCTCTGGAGGCATCTCATGTGTAATAAACCCAGCAGGACCACTGTGTGAGCTGATGACATTATTCCTAACGCTTCATGATGGAAACAGCTGTTACCACTATGCCAGGTCTCATGTGGCGGAGCTGGTCTTTTAGAGTGTCGATTCTCGTTTGTGATAAACGAGCCCGCATGGTGGTCGAGTTTAGCTCCACTCCCAGATAAACAATCGTCTGGGCCGGGAGAATCGAGCTTTTCTTCCAATTTATGGTGAAGCCCAGATTTAATAGGTGTGATGTCAACATCTGAGCCTGCATCGCTGCTTCCTGTCTGGAGCGTGACAGCAGCAGCAGGTCGTCCAAGTAAAACAAAACTCTCACCCCTGCTCTGTGTAACGGTTGCAGGGCCATCTCCACACATTTTGAGAATGTACGAGGTGCGAGGGAACACGAACAGCAGCCTGTTTTACTGATACCTCATCCCTTGAAAGGCGAAGCGCAGAAATTTCATGTGTTTTGGGATGATCGGTATGTGAAAGTAAGCGTCTTTCAGGTCGATGGAAACAAACCAGTCGTTTCTCTGGATGTTGTCCAACAGTTGTCTGGTTGTCAACATGTGAAACGGTCTGTCCATGATTGCCTTGTTGAAAACTGGCAGATCCAAAATGGGTCTTGTTCCTCCGGTCCGTTTGGGAACCAGAAAGTAACGCGAGTAAAACCCCGTGTTTTCCTCTCCGTTGGGAACTCTAGAGATTACCTCTTTTACCAGAAGTTCTTGGACTTCTGCATTTAGGAATGAGATTTGGTCTGGTGATGACAGGACCGTCTCTAAAATTCTTCCAAACGGAGAGGGTCGGGTTGCAAATTGCAGCGTGTAACCCCTGCTTAACAACTTGGTCATCCATCTGTCTGGCGAGCATGTTTTTAGCCACTCCTAACGTTCGTGGAGTGGACGCGCATTTAAGTGATACATCATGTTTTGTACAGATGTCATCCAGTCCACCGCCTCGACCGCCTTCATGTGTTACGGGAATGTGGTCTGCGTGAACCAAGGCGAGGCTTTCTCGAAAGGGTTCTGAAAGCGCCTGTGTGCTGCGTTCGGACCGCGGGTCCACCTTCATGTCTAGGTGGACCAGTGTGTGTTGAGGAGAAGCGTGTGACAACTCATGACGCCGCGGGGGCGCGCTTTTGACGCCGCTGCGGTGAAGCGCGTGTCGCTCCTGCTGAGGCTTTCTCGAAAGGGCTCTGAAAGCGCCTGTGTGCTGCGTTCGGACCATGGGTCTACCTTCATGTCTAGGTGGACCGGTGTGTGTTGAGGAGAAGCGTGTGACAACTCATGACGCCGCAGGGGCACGCTTTTGAC